GCCCCGGCCCCGCTCGACCTGCTCAAGCGCTTCGACCTCAGCCCCGAGTATGGGCCCTGCACCGGTGAGACCCTCCCCCCACCTCCGGAGGGGCGCGGGCGGGCCGGGCTGTGCTCCGAGGGGCTCCACGACCCCGAGCCCGCCCCTGACCCCCGTGCCCGTGCCCGCAGGGATCACGCGCCTGCAGCGCTGGGAGCGGGCGGCAGCGCTGGGCCTGAGCCCCCCGGACGCGGTGCGAGAGGCGCTGCTGCAGCATGGCGGGGACCCCCGCGTCACCTACAGGTGAGTCAGGCGGCTCCCGGGAGCTTCCCGAGCCAGGGAACTGGGGACTGGGTCCCTGCCCACGGTGGGAGGGGGCTGGCGGGGCCTGGCCTGTGCTTGGGGCTTGCTAGTTGGGTGGTGGCGTCACTTGGGTGGCACAGGCAGGGCTGGGCACAGCCAGCTGTTTGAGCTGCCCCCTGGAGCAGCCTGGCCCCTTGTCAGGAGATGCAGGATCGAGCCCCCTCTGGTAGACGGAGCAGCCTGGCTAAAGTGCTGGAGGTGAGAGGGCAGAGCCAGTGGGGCTGGGAGCCCAGCTTGCCCTCCTTGCAGAAAGCCCCCTGGCGAAGCAGGCCGCGTCGCAGTGTCCAGCCCTGAACAGACCGTTTCTGCCTGCCACAGGCCCCGCTGACACTGGCCACCTGTGCTGCAGCCACAGCAACGCTCCAGGGGTAGAGTCCTGGCAGAGCCATGGGGGTGGGGAGCCCGGGGCTGGGCCAGCAGATGTGGATGTGCCTTGGGGGCTAGCAATGCTTCCCTGACCCATGCCCAGAAGACTTCACCCCTGAGACAGCAGATCTGCCCCCAGAGCTGGGCGGGGTAGGAGAGGGGTGGGTAAGTCACCTCTTGGGTGAGGGAGGGAGACCAGCCCCCGTCCCGACCCCCTTCCCTACTTGCAATCAGCAGCCGGACTTGGGCTATTTCAGCCTGCGCCTGCTTAAGTCAGGGAAGGGTTGAGTGGTTGGGGTAGGACCATGAGGCTGCTGGACAGGCAGTGGAGATGCCCTCTCCTGCCCTAGAATCAGGCTGTTGAATCAGTTTCAGCTCTGAGCCCAGCCCTGTCCCTGCATCCCGAGGGGGTGCTGCCTGGGACCTGCTGACCTACCAGGTAGCAGTGCCTTGGAGGGGAAGTGTGCCCTGTTCCCTGCCATACAGCACTCCTAGCGGCCTAGGAAAGCATTGCAGCCAGCCAGCACTGCCTGACAGGGGACTGGGCCTCTCTGCCTCCACCCTGGGGCCAGGCCCTGCTCTGTTGAGTGGGTGAGGGGAGAGTGGGGGGGTGTCACAGGGAAGCAGGACTTGCAAAGTAGGGAGAAATGTGCGCCCTCCCCCCCCAACGACGGCTCGCTGGCCCTGAAAGCTGATAGCCGTGCGACCCATCTGCCTCCAGCCACATCATTCCTTCAAGTTGACTGTAAAATCGTGTCTCCTGAAGACCCGCCACAGCAGCGCTGCGGGGAGCCAGGCGCATTCCAGCCTTGGCCTGGGCCAGGCCCAGGGGTGTGCCAGGGCATGGAGCTGGGTTCCCCCAGGAGTAACCTCTCTCTGCTTCCCCTACAGTCTCTGGCACGAGTACCCGCTCTGAGGGGGAAGTGCGAGGGGCCTGAACAGCTCATGATATGAAGTGGAAGGGGGACCCTGCGCTGGTGCCCAGCCCCCACAGCGAGTGCTTTGGATCCTGAGTGGAAAGCGGCTTCGCTCCAGCATTAGGCAGAGGATTCTCATCCCCAGTGCTTTGGGGGAGGAGCGGGAGGGGGCTTTGCCAAGGGCATGGTGTGTCCAGTGACACTGCAGGGGTGCCTAGTGCAGCCTTGCTTTCAGCAGTCCAGCACCCTGCTGTGTTTGGTGCTGCCCACTTTCCCAACAGCCCTTGGCATGTGTGTTTTGGATTAAACGCTTGTGTGAGAGCCACTGGCCTCCTGCCTTCTAGCTGTGTGGTACAGGGAACGGGTCTCTTGGGACTGTGCCAGCTGCCTGGGAGGACATGCATCAGGCCCCCTGGGCAGAAGCTGCACAGTTAGAGCTAGCCAAGTGCAAGTGCTGATATGGTCTGGGTGGAGGGCAGGCCGTGGAGGTGAGGGCTCGCCTCCCCTGGACCCCTGAAACCTGGAGGTTATCATGTTGGTAAGCACCTTGTGCTGCCCAGCTGGTGGCTGGGGCCCAGAAACACAGCCTGGTGGGGGCAGGGGAAGTGGGCTGTTGTGGCAGCCCCTGCCACAGTGGGACGCAGGTGCCCCCTGGTGCCCTGTGTGGCCACTGCAGGAAGGCTGGAACCATGGCCAGGCAAGTGGGGCCCAAGGTCTAGACTACAGCAGTGGTTCTCAACTTCTTTTGCACCAGGACCCATTTGTAAACATCATTGGCCACTCCTGACTCCTTGCCCCTCGCTCCTGACCTGCTGCCCTCAGCCCCCCAGTGTGTGGTGGGGGCGTGGGACATGGGGGGGGCCCAAGCAGCCCCTTGGAACTCTACCAGCCTGCAAGGGAAAAGCCAGTTTCCCATGGTTTTTCTCCTTTAAAGGAGATTCCATTTTTAAAGTTTGATCCTGTTCACGACCCTTTCATGCTTGTGATCTACAGACTGAGAAATACTGGTCTAAAAGAACCAAGTTCCAAACACTCAGGAGGTGGCAATGCCCCTGCTCCAGCACTGAACCTGCTGAGTAGCTCGACTTCTCTTCCAGTGCGCCCTAGACCCATTGGAGCAGAGCTGCCCTTACCAATCCACAGCTGCAGCACTGCCCAATTGCTGCCACCACTACCAGGGCTGGTCTCATGCAGAAGGCAGATCCTGACTGGAGCTAGTGTGGTATGGAGCATGCACCTACCCTACTTTCCACCCCCTGCCTAGGGGTGCTGGCTGAGCTGCCTGTGCACAGCAGCAGTCCATGTCCTCTGGTTGCAGCTCTTCTTTCTGGCCCTTAGTGTCCGGCTTGCTTTTAGGGGTTTGTGGGAGAAGCACCTTCCCTGGGGGACCATGCCAGGATCTTTGCCCTGAATGTCCATATGCCCCACCATCCTTCAGCCCCCTCTAAGTCCTGAAGATGCTATGGCCCTGGGGGGCTCCCCCTGCCATAGCCACCCCAAGACTGCCCCACTCCTGCAATCTGGCAGTGGGGGAGGGAGGGGAGGTCCTGGCAGGAAGCAGGCAGCCAACATCCCCAGAGCAATAGTGTCAGGGAAAGGTGGGGAGAGGGCCCGGGGGACATTAAGGGAAATGCAACAAGCAACGGCTTCCTGGCAATGGGATGGGCTGTCCCTGTCAGGCTGTCCCTGTCAGGCAGGGAGTACCCCCAGTCGGGGTCCCCTTTCCAAGGCTGTGGTGAGGTGGGGTGGAGTGCGCTTCCTCTTTCAGAGGTAACTGCCACTCTTGACCAAGGGCCCAGACGCTGAAGGAGGGAGCAGGGTCACCCATGGCTGAGGAAAAACTCGGCAAAAATAAGAGCCCAACTGCTGGGCACTGCCTTGGGCCTCAGCCTGTGGGAAAAGTGGTGCAGCGCCCTACAGCAGGCAAGCAGGGCAGCGAGTGCACATCCATCTTCCCCAGTCTGCTCCTCCACCCAACAAGAAGACTGAGTACCTGCTGGAGTCCAGGCCCAGGGGGGCTTTAATGAAGGTCCCAGTCATTGTTGCCTGGGTGTTTCATGGACAGTGTAAAGGGGACTGTAGTTTCCCCAGATCCCTGTGTTGGGGGAAAGGGGCTATTGATGACCCTGCCTGGATCCCTGAGGCCCTGAGATCCCCCTTCTGTGGGGGCTACAGGGGATCTGAGCCCTGAGCCTGTGTCCTAGATTCCCTTAGCTGCGGATCCATCCATTTGCCACTTCAGGCCTCTACCCTGGCTTCCATTTTGCCCAATATATCTGATGTCTGTATTGGGGAGAGGAGTCTCTGGGCAGCGTCCCTGGGACACAGCTGAGGCATGGGCTCTTCTCTGTGGACAGGGGTCCTGACAGCAAGAAAGGGGCCAGGTTAGGCATGGCCCTTGCCATGGCTGGGGCAGCTGACAGCTTGCAGGGCCTGCTCAGGGAGCCGGGAGGGCTGCGTCAAGATGGACGTCATCTTGCTGAGCTGCAGGAGGGAGCTGGAGATGGCTGGGAGAGAAAATGGGAGAGGAAGTCAGCTCAGGGTCAGCCCAGATCCCACCTGCCCAGATCCTTCCCATCAGGCCAGGGCCCTGAGGAGGGGCTGATACAGTGAGTGCGGAAGGAAGACAGCCCCTCTGATGGCCCAGCCTACTGATCGGGGCAGCATCCCTAGGCAGCTGGCAGTCCTGGGGCCATTTAGGACTTCAAGCTTAGCTCTTCATACCTAGTGGTCAGAACAACAGCACCCTGGATCCTATCCCAGTTCAGGGAGGAAGAAGAGTGTAGTGGTTACAGCAGAGGGGCTAGGCCTCCCTACTTCCATCTCAGCTCTGCCACAGATCCATCATGTTGTATTGAACCCTATCCTCCCCCTGCTCTGGTTTGCCCCTTGAATGGGGGAGCTGAGGACACCCATGTTCAGGTGTGGAAGGAGGGTGTCTTGGAGCTGCTGATGGAAGGCTGGGAAGGAAGTGCCCTGCAAAGCAAGTGGGGTTGCAGAGGCAGAAAAGCCCCTTTTTAGAGCACCAGACACAGGGTCAAAAGGGGCAGTACATACCAGGACGCAGCATAGGCAGGGCACAGCGCTGCTCCAGCCAGCCCAGCACTGACTGGTAGAACTCCTCAGTGCTGCTGGTGCTCACCGCCTTGCTGTAACTCTCAAAAAGCGGCCTGATGATCACGCTGAACTTCAGCCACGCGGGTTAAGGAGATACACCTTCTGCATGCTCCAAAAGCCCTAGGGGGACCTCCTAGCAGCTGGCTCTGCCCCTGTACCCCCACTGCTGCATGGAGCTCCTGCCCCCACTGAGGGGCAGTCTCTGCCCCATGGCCCCCTCCATCCCACCCTAGTGCCAGTCTTTGTCCCCTCCCCCAGACCCATGTTTGGCCTTGAAAGGCATCAACACTGGCCCTTCCACCTGCAGAGCATTCACTCCTACCCAATCTGCCCCTCTTGGCCCAGAGCTCAAGGCCCGTGCCCCTGCCCCGGGCTCAAACTGGGTGGTGGATACGAGCCAGAAGCGCCAATCCTGCAGGGTACGCCGGCGCACATAGTCATCGTAGAGCTCCACAGCACGGTCTGAACTTGAGAGTGCCACCAATGGGGCCCCACTGGGGGGCAGCTGCCGCTGGTACTCTCTAGGGCAGAGCCATGAGGAGGGCAAAGCCCACAGAGGTGCAGCCCCACCCCCCACCTACACTCAGCTGGCAGCACTCAGCTCCTCCAGCTTGCCCCGTAGGCCCTGCCCCCTGCCTGTACTCACCCAATGGCAGCGCTCAGCTCCTCAATCTCGCCCCGCAGGCGCTGGGCTGTCTCCTGGACCTGTTGACGCTCCTGCTGCAGCCGCCCCACATAGGCCGCACTCCTCTGCAACAGCATGGCCTTGCTGAGCTGGGGGAGCACACAGTGTGAGACCTGCGCAGACCATAGGGACAGACGGACAGGACAGAGGGGACAGGCCAGGGTGAAGCAAGGACAGGGTGTAGAAACAGATGGATAGGGTCAGTTGGACATCACATGAGAGCACATACTAGGGCAGGGCAGGTACCTTGAAGCTGGGCTGGGCAGAGCCTTGAAGCACCAGGCTGGCAAGGGCGTCAAAGCTGGAGCTGATGTTCATGCGCCGGGTGTGGTCAGACGATGTCAGGGTGGGTCTTTGGCTGCCCTGTGGGGACCAGTCAGAACGCAAGGTCTCAGCCCCTTCCTCAGGCACCAGGGCTTCCCGCAAGTGCAAGGGAAACTAGGAGCTAATGTGAGACTCAACAAAGCCCCCTGCAGCCTAGCACCCCCCTGTCACTCCAGACCCCGGCTTGACCCTCCGTGCACAACAGCGCCCCTAATGTTGCAGTTGGGTCAACACTGACTGGAAGAGGAAAGCACCTGCCTCTGGGGCAGAGGTGAGGGCCTACATACCTTGGTGCCAGGGAGACTGCAGGTCTGGCGGGGGGAGCAGGACCTTCTGCGCTCAGCTCCATCCTCAGCCTTTGGATCTGGGAATTTGCAAAGGGAAAATCTTGGGAGCAAAAATACTTCTGTGTCGCTCTCAATGGCCAGGCTCCAGAGCAGAGGGGCACAGCAGGTAAGCCTCCCAGCCCCGCCTCTCCAGGCGGGTAGGCCAGTGAGGGAAGCACCTCAGATGAGCCCTGCCAGCCAGAGCTGGCCCCACTTCCCCAGTGCTGACAGTGTCTGTTTGGGAGGGGCAGAGGGGCCAGGAACTGCATCCAGCTCCCTTAGACCCAGCCCTGCTGGGGCGCAATCAGGGCAGGCTGGGCCCCACATAAGCAAGAGCTGTGGTGTGAGCAACAGCTGGCACTCTGGGGAGGGTGGCTTCCTGCTTATAGGCCAGGACTTTCTCCCCAAGCCAACTGTCTCCAGATGCCCCTCATTCCCTTCCCTCCAGCTGCTTAGGAGACACCCCAGTCCCCAGCTAAAGCCAGCACCACCCCCCCGCCTCCCCAAGAGCCCCCTCCCCTTCTGGTACCCCAAGCCCAAATCCCTTACCTCATGCCACCCTCATGTCAACAGCTCTCCCCACCACTACCCTACCCTATCATGATCCCAAATGAGGAGGGGCCTGCAGGTTGGCACCCACCCATCATACCGGTGCCAGAGGGGGCAGTGCTGGAGTGAGGGTGGGAGGATTTCTCTGTCAGCAGAATGCCTGCAGGGCCCTCCGGGATGCCGGAGATCTGGACGGGAGAGACATGGAGGGAGTCAGCAGGGGAGGATAGAAATCTGCCCCCAACTAGAAGCACAGGGCGGGCAGAAGAGGGCACCCCAACCAAGCAGGCAGCCTGGGAAATTCCAAGGTGATTGGGCTCATATACCTCCCTTCCAGGGGCCTGCTGTGACACTAGGGAGGGGGTGGAGCTTGCACTGTCCAGCCCTGCCCTCCCTAGCAGGGGCACTGTGACATCAGAGTTGGGGAGGAGCCCAGTTCTCCCCTCCCCCAGCCTCTGCCTGCCCTACCTGAGGGGAGGTGGGGAGGCATATACAAGGGTTCTTACCTGGGGAGAATTTCTGGCTGGAGATGCGGGGCCTGGGCAAGAGGCATAAGCAGTTAGACACCAGTGTAACCCTGCCCAGAAGACATGGGCCAGAGCTCTTCACTGCGGAAACCAACAGGTGCAGCAACTGACCAGCCTTGGGTGCTGGGCCTGGGCAAGTCTGAGGGGTGGGAGCTGCCCTGTGTATCCCCTGGCCCCTGACTCTTCCTCTCACTGCACCCTAGACCTGCCATGCCCACCCCATCCCCAACAGCAGCAGCCCCTGTGCCCCATCCCACAGCCAACGAGCCTATCAACCCCCAAACAACCCCATGTCCCCCCCAGTCCATGCCCGCCTCCTATTCTCCTCCCCAGCCAGCAACCCGCAGGCCTGCCCATCTCTCCATATTCCAAGAACCCACCCCGCTACACACCCTTTCCTTCCTGCCCCTCCTGGTAGTGATGCCCCTCACTTCCTCCTGCTTCCTTTGCCCTGACATCCAGCGCCCAGGCCCTGCCTCCCCCATCCCTGCCCCCGCCCCTCCCCAATTCCAGGCAGCCTGGGCAGGCTAGAGAATGCCTACCTTGTCTGAGCAGTTGGGTGAGAAAGGAGCTGGAGGGTGCTGGAGGGCAGCTGGAGGTAGGTGCAGGGGCGATGCGCTGCAGCTGCCGGCGTCGCCCTCCCTTTGGCAGGGGGCCAGACATGGGCACAGCAAAGGTGCCCCCCAGGGTTTCCGCACCAGGGGTGGAAGCAGCTTTCTCAGCAGTCGTGTGGGTGATGACAGAGAAGACGAGGGCAGGGTGGTTCTGTAGGTGCAGGGCGGGGGGAGCAGGTGGAGGTGGGCTGACCCGCACTGGGGAGGTGGGGAAGAGGGGCAGGAAGATCTGCTGCCCATTGATGGGAAGAGGAGGCTCCAGCTCCAGGGGAAAGGTGACAGAGTCCTCAGCCAGGTGCATCTCCTTGGGACTGGTGGTACTGGGGGTCACATCTGTGTCACAGGTGCTCGAGATGGATACCAGGGGGGAAACATCTGGCAGTGGTGTGGGGGCCTGGGAGAGGGAGAGAGAAACGAAAGTCAGCTCCAGGGCCTCCACCAGGCAGGGATGCACATGATAAACACAGCTGGGATGTGGGGAAGGGGGTGGAGTCTGCATTGCCCAGCCCTCCCCTCCCCACAGTGGATGCTGTGACATCAAGGGAGAGGGCAGAGCCTGCACCGTCCAGCCGGCCTCTCTAGCAGGTGGGGAGAGGCACAGTACACAGGGAAGTAGTGGCTGATCTCTGCAGGGACGGGCCTGAGCAGTTCTGAGCAGTCAGGTGCCTGCTACTCACCTGGAGGGCAGCTTGGGGGCGACAGGCAGCCAAAAAATCTGTGAAAGGGAGGAAAAAAAGAGTTAATGGTGTTGGAAAAAAGGAGGGAGAGGGGGAAGGGGGAAGAATGAAAGAAAGAGAGAATGAATGCAAAAGGCCCAGGTAAATGTGAGCAGAGAAACCATATCACAACTTCACATAGAATCAGGTGGAAGCAGCCTAGGGCTAGGCCAGCCAGGGGGCTGTGGGCCAGGATGGAGGGGCGTGGCAGAGCTGAGGGGGGGTGGGGGGAGGGAGCCTAGGGCTGGCCTGGGCCAGCAGGGGGCCACAGGTAAGAGCCTCAGCAAAGCTGAGTGGGAGCCCAGGTTGGAAGAGCAGGAGGCTGGAGAGGACTGGGAGGCTTCAGCAGGGCTAGGAGGGAGAGACCAGGGCTGGAGGAGAGATTAAGGGGCTGAGGGCCAGGATTAGAAAACTGCAGCTGATGCACCCTGGGGCACACAGGCCTGCTGGGGTCTATGGGGCTGTCAAAGGGTAATCTGGCTGAGTCAGAGTTGTCGGGGGAGTACTAGGGGAGATCCTTGAACACAGGGACAAGCCCCTAATGATGATGAAATAGTGACCCAGATACCACCTGCAGCTAGCCTCATCTGGGAAATGGCTTGGAGAGGTTACATATCCCAGTATACACAGTTCGGATGTACACCAAAACATCTCTGCTAGCAATGGAGCAGTGCATGCTGGAACAGGCGCCCCATCATAAGGCAGCTGGGATGTTGGTATGGCCACTGGCAGGGATGGGTGCTTCTTGGGTGCTGCCCCTGGCGTGGTGTTGGTCACACAGATGCCAGAGGACCACTCTATACCTTTCCTGGCAGCAGAGACAGGAGCAACAGACAGGAGGAGTTTCAGGGAGTCAGAGGAGGAGGTAGAGGCGACAGAAGAGACACTGCTGAGCCGCAGGCTAGGACAGGTGGCCCCTGGGGGAGAGCTGGCCAAGCTGCCTGGGTCCCGGCAGGGGAAGAAAAAGACATGCATTCAGAAACGGCAGCCTTGCAGTGTTCCCAGTGCCTGCCTGCAGCCTGGCAAAGTAGCACTTGCACAGGGTGTCCATGTTGCAAAGGCAGCTCTGGCCTGAGGTGCTTTCACAATCTCCCTGCCTTCTCCCTTGAATAAGCCCACCAGACAATGTCTGCATGAAGACCTAAACCCCATACCCTGCTCCTCAGAGCCACTAGATTCCCCCAACCTGAGCAGCGCCCCAAGAGAAAAGGCCTGTGTCCTATACCCTGCTACACTGTACCAGTCAAACCCCTTGCCCTGCAGCTGGATTAGAGCCAGTGGCTTTTCAAAGGGAATGGCCCTATAACCCATTCTTTGTTCCCCTGCGCCAGGCAGGCACCCGCCAGCACCTCCTAAATGGGAAGGCCCAATCCTAGGACAGCTGTCTTGGGGCACAACTAGCACTGATCATTTCATTGCCTTTTCCATGCAGTGAGTGGCATTTACCCCTCCTAAGCAGGTCATAACTCCCAGCCTGCCCCAGTGGCAAGATGCAGGCAAGATGCAATGCATGGGATAGGCTGAGCTGTTCTTTTTGCAGTTCTGCTCCAATGCGAACACCAGTGGGTGAGGGGGCTGGAGAACTACACATGGGTCAGGCAGCAGGGCGGGCATCTGATATGGGACCAGCTTCGAGGATCCATCTCTGTGACAAGTAGAGCTAACCATGGGCTAGTTATATGCCAGGCAGCTGTGACCCCCACCACAGAACATAAGTCAGGTGCACACACGTCCCGGGGAGGAGGTACCCATGATGCTACAGCCCGCAAGAGACCAAGGACTAGAAGAGCTGGGCCCTTTGACCTCACCTGACACAGCAGGGAGGGGACAGTAGGCTGGGTGGATCAGAACCAGGGGGTAGCAGAGTTTGATGTGGCCTGTCCAAGGGAGATCAAGGTTGGCAGGGCCGGCTGGTCCTGATGCAGCTCAGCGTGGCAGAGGGACAGGTGCCAAGCCAGCTGGCATACAGTTGACCCCTACCAGGCACTGGGGTCTGACACATTGAGGGCTCTGTACACCCTGTTTCTGGCATGCAGCCCTTCTGTATGTGTGCCAAGAATGCCCGTCTCATCCCAGTACTACCCAAGCATGACAGACAGCATGACTCACCATGAATGTGATCCAAGGTGTCCATGAAATCCTCCCCAAGGTTGGGGTGCAGCTGGGTCAGTGTGGGCTGGATCATGTCTGCATTCCCTTGGTGAGCTGTGGGGAAGAAGCCGAAGGAGCAGGGAATGGTCAGACACACCTCTAGCCATTCGCACCCACCCTGCCAGGGACTGGTGGGGGAACTGGGGTCCCTCTAACACACAGACAGGGGGCAGGGATCCAGGCAGAGGGCTCCCTGAGGGATATGGGGGGTGGGATTCAGCATCGGGGAGCCCCACCAGGGACTGGAGATACAAGTCCAACACGGGAACCCCCGCAGGCAAAGGGGATGGGGCTGAGACCCCTGGGGAACTCCAAGGATGCCGATAGGCCAGTGCTGAGGCTGTGGGGAGACTCACCAAGCCCACGAGGGTTGGGCCCACCGTAGGGGTTGCGAGTGTAGAAGATGGTATCAGCTAGGTTAGAGATATGGATGTCCAGATCATGCAAGGGGTCCAGCTCCATGGGGAAGTCATCCTCAGCCTCAATGCCCAGCTCCTTTTGGAAGGCATCAACTGTGCGCTGCTCAGGGAAGGGTGGACACCGACAGGGGGATTAGGTCAGAGCCAATTAAGAGTAATAGTTCTCAGTGGGGAGGTCAGGGCTATGCTAGTCTCAGCGCCGCCGCCGCCCCCCCCCAGCAGGGGGCACAGTAGGAGTGGGGCAGGGGCATTGCTGGTTTTAGGTAGGGCATGAGACCTGTACCTGAGTGGGTAAAGACACAGGTTTATCTTTCTTATTCTGGACCTGAAAAATAAAACAAAGAGAAACTTTAGGACATGAAAAGGGTCCTTTGCCAGGAGCTGGGTGTGCTGGCTGCTCTGTCGTGGGCTGGCTGCCCATTCACTCCCCATCCCCAGCTGGTTGCAATCACACTGAAGCATCTCTGAGTGTGAGGGCACGTGGGTGAGGGGAAGGAACACAGGGACAATTAGGCATAGGTACAGGGGAATCCCACCCCCAGCTTTGGCATTTTAGCAACTTGTGAGGGCTGCAGAGGTGGTGGGTGGGTGGGATGCTGGCAGAAATGAGCCATCCAGCAATGGATGGACAGATGGATGAGTTTCAAGGAAAGCCCCAGGCCAGACACCGAGTCACTCTGGATCCACACACCAGCAGAGGCTGAGCCTTGCCACCAAAGGCCTGCTGCTTGGCAACCCCTTCCCCTTCCCTGGCACAGGGATTTCAAAGCACTTTGCACCCCCTGGGGAGGTTGCTCTAGAGCAGGGGTGGGCAAGACTTAGGCTGCCAAGGGATTCTATCTGGCCTGTGGCAGATCCCTCAGCCCTATCCAACCCAGGTTCAAGAGGCAGCTCAGATCATGGCACATGCAGCTGGTGCCACTGCCCCAGGCATGCAGTGGGGTGGGGCTTCCCAGCAGCCCCTGTGGTGGCAGCTCACTCTGCCTGGTTGCTGCTGCCAGTGTCTCTGTTGTCACCACCTGACCCAACACCACTGGCCAGGCACCCTGGCCCCTTTCCCCCACACCCACTACTGGGGGTGCCGGATAGAGTGGGCAGATGGGGTCTCCATGGAGACTGGCTTGGGACCCGTTTGTGCAGGATGCACTTGGCTGGGCAAATGGGATGGGGCTGCGGGCAGGCAGGAAGTGGCACATGTGGGAAGGACAGGGATTGCAGGGCGGTGACAGTGCGGGGGCAGAGCCTGGGATAGAGCTGTGATCCACTCCCCACTCGTGCCTGCATGCAGAACCTGCACCCTTCACAGAGCCATGCAGGGAGAGGATCACAGCTCTGCCTCAGGCCAGAGCTGTCACCACCCCACAATCCCACTCCCAGATGCTACTCCCCTGCTTGCCTGAGACCCCATCCCATGTACCTGGCTGAGCAAACCCTCCTCACTGGGATCCCAAGCCGTTCTCCTTGGAGACCCCGCCCACCTGCTCTGTCCAGCACGACAATTGGTGCAGGACAGACAGTCCTGGATAGGATCAATTGCCCCTCCAACCCCTGGCCCACAAAAGCCCACCAAAACTCCTTAAGTTGCCCACCAGACCAAATGATTGCCCCCCCAGTCTAGACCCTGTCTGACAGTTGGACAGACTACAGATCTCAGGCCCCCACTGCCCTAACCAACCCCAGAGGTGGACCAGGGTGATGTAGCAAATCGGGAAGCTTATTGTGGTGCTGCCTGAGCTGTAGATGCACAGGCAGGGGCCCCCAATGCTTTGAGTGGGAAAAAAGCATCCCTCAGGGCAGTTGGAGGGAACCAGAGTAATGCTGTGGGGTGGGAAAGGAGTCAGGGAAGGTCTTACCTGCGTGCGGAAGTAGGCCCTCCACTTGTGATACTCCCGAACAACAGCTTCGATGTGCCGCTTCCAGTATTTCCCCTCCATGATCACAGCCTGTAAGGCAAGGATACAGCAAGCAAGAGCTGCTCAGCAAATCCAGGCACTGAGAAGTCTAACATGCCAGCCAAACTACATGGATGGAAAGGCTATCACAATACGCCCTGGGGGTCTTCCCAATGGACTGCAAGCTGCAGACCTGGTACGCGGGTAGTGACTGAATACCCACAACAGCAGGTGCCAGTGGCGGACAGACAGTAACTCTAAATTGTGACACAGAAGTGTTTTCAGCAAGATTAGTGTGTGTAGAAGCAACGGCAGGGCATTAAGCAAGCAGCTGAATACCAGCATGTGCTTAAGCTTGCCTATATAAGATAGGATTTATCTCATTGTAAGAGCATATGTGTGGCAGTTATGTGGGAGACAGACGCAGGAGAATCACAATCGCAGATGATGGCAGCAAAAATCAACAGCAGCTGAAAATGCCCAGGAGGCTAGGCTACAAGTAGAAACTGGATAAAAATAATGATGACCATATCTGGCAGACAGTAGTAGTGTATGGGAACCTTGGCCATGTAAAAAACAAGATAGTAGAGTCTGCATATTTGCAAAACTAAGCAAAACCAGCTGAAACAAGGACACTAGAAACTGGTGTCCATGAACAATAACATGTGAACAGCACATGTCTAAGGTCTAAAGACAGCAAGATGAGGTCTAAGGTCTAAGGTCTAAAGACCTTAGACCTTAGACCTAAGGTCTTTAGTCTAAGGTCTAAGGTCTAAAGGTCTTAGTCTAAGGTCTAAAGACAGCAAGATGAGAGTGAAGAAACCAATGGGAAAGCAGAAACTGAGTGCTGGCATTGTGTGAGCAAAAGAACACTGGTATAAAAGGAGACTTCTTAAGCAACTGGGGGCTCCTGCTCTGAAGTTCCCAAACCTGCAGAAGATGGCAATGCTTCTGGCCAGATGCCCATGGAATCTGCAAGACCCCTAGAGCTGGTGGATGGTGAAACTTGCTTAAATGCTTGCTTGCTTTAGTTATCACTGCTATTGTGTAGCAATAAAAGCCTCCTGTTATTGAATGGAAGTGTCGTGACTCTTCACTGAAGTGGCTGTACCTGCCCACGTTAAATTTAGGCTAACAGCAGCAGACAGAAATGCTCAATGTGTGCTTAAGAAGCAGCTGTCAATTAGAAAGAGTAAGCAGCCAATCAAAATAAGGATGGTACAACAGGATCCGCAGCTATCACTCACACGTTAGCTGCATATAGCAAAACAATGTAAACAAAAGTAGCATGCAGAGGTTAAGTGTGTGTACCTAAAGTAACCTATAAGCAAAGCAGGCACAAGCAGTTGGGGTGGTGGCCTGAATCCACAATCACTGGACCCAGAGCACTCTTCAGGAAGGGTAATCACTAATCAGCCAGGAGATTGTACTGAACCTCGATTCCATGTGTAGGCTTGCAAATTAAGTCCTGCTCATAAGAGAGGCCATGGTCTTGTCTCTCTAAAGGCCAAACGGCCCTGAGTTTTTGGTATTAGGATGGGCTGCCCTGCATCTCCCTGGAGTTGCCCCTCTTATACAGACGTTACTCCTGGAACAATCCAATTGCAGGTGAGCTCATTGATCTGTTATCTGATAATGCGTGTATGAGCCAATCAAAATGCTGTCATGACATATAGCTTTCAAGTGCTCCCACATTCTACATTTCCATATACCATTAACCTACCTTCTCCACAGCGTTCCCAAGTTATCTTGCCTGGTATCACATCACTTAGGCCCAGGGGAACCGGTTCTCGGCCATTTCACCCTTATGCAAGCTCCATGTAATGTATGTCTGTTGGCTCTATTCCAAGCTGGAATACCTCCCTAAACCCTGCACCCTGCAGGGCCAGGCACTGCTTGCTGCAGCAAGCCAACTATTTTCAACCTTCTAGGACCTTGCAAGCATTAACTCTTCCCTAACTAGGCCTAAGCCTCTGGCTTCACCAACACCATGTTGCATGAGAGCCTTCCATCTCTAAGAGGTTGCTGAGCAGATTTTGTGTGCACCATGTGAGTCCTGGCCTGTGTTGCATCACAGGAGATTTAGTCCAGCTGAATCTCAGAGCAAGGCATGGTTGATGCCCTCCAGAAGGAACTGGGCAGTGAAGCTAAGGATGGCTGCCCCATAAAGCTTGACCCCCTGCATGAGCTGGACATCCTCATCTCTGACCCGGCTGACACAATCTTCTAGTGCTGCAAACCCTACGATGGGTGCAACCTCTGAGGGATTGGTGAGTCTCCCCACAAGAGGATCAAGGCTCCCACAACAACAGCCTATGTCCTTGTCATTCCCCAGGAGGTCTCAGTCCTACCCCTCATGCCCATGGGGGTTTCCCTCTCAGCTTTGCTTTTCCTCTCCCACTGAGGTTCCTCAATGCTGACTTCCCTTGCTCATATCCCTGAGAGTCCTCTGCCTGGATCTCTGCAGCCTGGATCCTTGCAGCCTGTCTCTAGGGGCGTTAGGAGCCTCTAAAGAGAGTTCGTCCAGGAAGGGTGGGAGGAAAAGTAACTACCGGTCCAATGAGGCACTGGGACAATGGTTCATACAACAGGCCTAGGGTTTTGGTGCATTTCTTTTTATTCTATTAAAAACATTCCCCAGGGATAAGACCTATTTTGTGTGTATGTGTGGTGGGGACCCCAACACCCGTTAGCAGAAAACCCAATAACGTGTCTAACCCCACAGCTTTGAAGCAAAAGTTCCTTCCAGCCCTTAAAAGGGCCCTGTGGGGCTAGGAAACAGAGAGGTGACAGCACAGAGTCAGGATGAGGGCCCCCCAAGGAGAGGAGGGCTGTCAGGGAAGAGAGGGGACAGGGCAGCACCAAAAAACAGCCACTGCTAGTGGTGTCTGACCCATGAAAGCCCCTTGAAGCCTGGGGTGAGGGCCCTGTGCAGCACCCCTTGCCCACGCACTCACCTCTGGCTTGCGGTGGTCATCCCCATCACTGTACTCCAGTGGTGTCACAAAGTTGCACACCGGGTTCTTCCTCTTCTCCACATCTGCAGAGGTGAGAAACAAGTGAGGCTGTCACTTGTGTCTCCTCTGCCTCCCCTCCAAGAGTGCCCCTGTTGGGCACTGGGATCAAGCAGAGCACATGGAGCCTTTCCCTTTTGGGGAATTGTCTTCAAGCCAGTCCCAGTACAGGATTCCAGGGGTGGGAATGGGACTCATGACCTGTTCCCACTAAGGGGTGCTGGCCCACATCTGGCCCCAGGTTGGGGGAACCAGTTGCTTCAGGGGGTGGAGTGAGACACGGGGAGGGCATACACCCACTGGGTTGGGGCGGAGGACTGGATGGGGGTTGGTGAGGTGCAAGGTTGCCAAATGACCATAAATTTGTGGACAGTCTGTAAAAATTCAGGCTAAAAATGTCTGTCCATACATAAATTTGAGCTGTTCGTAAAAACAATCCAGCTCCAGCTGCTTGATTGAAGATCCTTCTCTGAAAGAAGCCGGACAGGTGGAGCTTGACTGAAGAATGGACAAAGCACAGCAGTACCACCTGGTGTCTGAGCAGAAGCGTAGCACCCCACAGGAAGCCTATCAGGGCTTATAGACCCCTTCCCTTCTATTCATGTGCAGCTGCTGCTGCTTCCCATCCTGTATGACCGCTGGGTTGCAGGTAAGCTTCTTTGGGGGTCCATGCTGGGAGAGGGGGAGTGGGACTGGGGGTGGGGAGCAAGTCGGAGGGAAAGCATGGTACAGGGTGCAGTTAGAGGCATCAGGCTGTGGGGGGCAGCATGGTATGAAATCACTGCAGCAGTCAAGCAGCTTTGCCAACCCAAGACATTTTTTTACTGAAATTTTTTTACTGACAACCAAACTTTTTAACTATGCTTGGTGTTAAAGGCTCAAATTTGAACCTGGCCCTTCTAACTGGGACCTGGCAGCAGGGCAGGAGCTGGCAGAAGAGTTGATGGGTGAAAGTTTATCAGTCACAAAGATATATGGGATTCAAGCTCTATCTCAGGCTTGTCCAACATACGGTCCGTGGGCCGCCATGCGGTCCTCCAAGCTGTTTTCTGAGGCCCGAGGTGCAGCGACGGGAAACGAAAGTAAACACTGTACTTTTGTTTGGTGGGGGTGATGTGATACTGCTTCCTGTGAGGTCTTTGAATATAGCTCGCTGGCCCACTGGGTGATAAAAAGTTCATGATCCAGCCCCACATTCAAAAAGGTTGGACAGCCCTGCTCTATCTTGTGGAGCAGTTCTTCCTTCTAGGTGTCAGAAGTCCTCCCACGCATTACACTGCCATGGAGATGGAGGCCCATTGGTGGGGTCTCATCCTGCCACTTCCTGCTCTGGAAAGACTCCCAAGACCCTGTACAGGCAGCCCCCCCCCACACTCACATTGCAGATACCAGGCCCGCCAGATGGCATTGTTGAGGCGGATCTTGTCACGCTGCAGCAGCTTCAAGCCCTTGAACGTTTTCCATTTGGGGGACACGATCTTCCCACTGTCAAACACCAAACAACAAAGCCCACTCAAGCCATGTGGTTCATGGAGAGGGGGAAGGAGGTAGGCAGGACAGGGAGCCAATGACAATAAGAGAATGGGCATGGATGCTGGACACCCGTCCCTTCCCCTGGGATCCTGTATGGACCAGAGCAGTCTCCTGCATCATTCCGCACCTTGCGCCCTCCTCAAAGATCCTCTCACACCCATATCTGACCAGGCCTCAGACCTGCCCATGTGGCTCTGTCCATGCTCACTGGGGCTTGCCATGAGTAATGTAGGGATTGTATTTGGCCCATTACACCACGTCCCTAATATATGATCCCCTACAACAGGCATGGGTTGAACTACTACCCGGCCATTGGGGTCTCTGCTATGATGAGCAAGCTGGGAAGATTTGAGTTCACCTTCTTCTCAGTAAGCACCCTGAGAAGCCAGGTGTGCCCTGTGCCAGCCAACATCCTGCTGGACCAAGAGCTGCCTCTTCATACTTTAGGGTCCTGGGGGCAGGTGGCACATAGTTAAATCTATCCTACATACAACTCCAGAGACATACTGAATGCACACAGGATCAGGAGCAGAGGGCTTGTGAAGCTGGTTGGGGGAATGGAGAGTCAAAGCTCTAAAAGAGCAGTTGGCAAGGTTTTATAGCAACAGGACCAATTGACCCGACTTGGGACCAAGGCAGTCCAGTGCTTTCAACCCAGCCACTGCTGCTGATAGGGCTTTCTGTAGCTATCCAGCCATCATGCAGGTGGCAGGACAAGCAGAGGCCAGGTCAGAAGCTCTGTGGGCTGGATCCAATGGCTCTGCAGACCAGATCCACCCCACAGGCCATATGTTGCTGACCCTTCCCTTAAGAGAAGGCCAGGAGAGCTTTGCTAGTTTTTCTACTGAAATGGAGGCTGAGAGATCTGATTTCTTTATAAACACATTATGGGAGTCAATACCAGGAAGGAGAATAGCTATTTAAGGCAAAGGATGATAGTGGCAACAAGAGCAAATGAGCCGAAACATTAGAGCAGTCAGGGGCTGGAGCAGCCTCCCACTGGGAGAAGCCGTGCTTTCAAAATGGGAGTTTGATGAGTTTACAAAAGGGATCATGTGAGATGGTGCCTGTGTCAGCAGGGTCTGAGCTCAATAACCCAAGAGGCCCCTTCCTTCCCTGTGCTCCTATGGAGAAGAAGCCTCAATTTATTCCCTATCAACTGCCCACTACAAATGTGTTATGGATCCCCTTTGTTGGGGGTGCTTAATGCAGCTGGGCAGAGGTCACCCACGTACATCCAAGTACCCAAATCTCCAGGAATGCAGCAAGTTAGGAAAGGGGCAAGTATCTGCAGCCCAGACACAGCTGGTGCCTTGCAGGGCCCAGCTGCCATGCATAAAAGGAAGAAGATGGTGATGAGCATGGTCACGGTGTTAGCCAGGCTTTGATTAGCCCCAAGTAATCAGAGGGCATGGAGATTTGTTCCTAGCCCTTGGGAGGAAGATCTCACTCCTTGGGTAGAAGATACTTCAGCTTCCAATTTGGCCAGTTCACTATGCAGTGAGTGAAAGTGGATTTCACTCATCCAGAGGCAATTTGGACAGCTGTTTTCAGATCTGGGACTTTGGGGAGAGGGGAGGGTTGGCTGGGAAAGAAGTCAAAGGCTACTTGAAATCTAATCGCATGAGAAAAGAGTTTGGAGTCCCTTCCCGGTATACCACACTAATGCGTGGTTATTACAATGCCTTTCCTTCTCTCTCTGAATACTTTTATCCTACATGGTACTGGGTGAAAGACCCATTGAAATAACAGGGGAAGTGGGGCTGGTTAGAAGCAGCAGAAAGATGCCCTGTGTCTACAAGTCTGGCAGAAACTGGAAGTAGATCTGAGACACTGTCTCTCTAGTTCTGCTGCTCTTAGGCACTGCTTGTTAATATATTTGTTCTTACCAAGTACTTTTCATCAGTAGATAATCAAAAAGTTTTGCAAGGAATGGAACCAGTCCCCCCCCTTTTACAAATGGGGAAACTGAAGCACAGAGCTGCACAGAGGAGAGGAGAGATATATGCCCAGTCACCACATACTTAAATCTTAAAAAGACTTTCACCCAACAAGGACACTCCTCCAGAGAGATAGATCGCATGTTTGAAAAAGCCACTCGGACACCACATGAAGAACTGCTGCAGTACAGAAGAAACCCCCCCACAAATCGCACACCGCTGGTTATGACAAATCACCCCTCCCTCGAACCCCTACGGAAAATCCTCAAAAATTGCAACCCATACTAGAAAGAGACCCTATTCTTAAAAAGATCTTCCCAGAGCCACCCATCCTAGCCTTCAAACAAGCACCAAACCTCGCTAACCTTATCACCAGAAGCAAACTTCCTCAAGCCCAGAACACACTAAATGGATCCAGACCATGCCATGACAAGAAATGCAAAACCTGTCAACACACTTCCACCACCCCCACAATTAATACACCCCACAACAGAGCCATCAGCATCCCCGGATCTTACAGCTGCACCTCCAGAAATGTAATATATCTCACCCAATGCACCAAATGCCCTGATGGAAAATACGTAGGAGACCAAACAATACCAAACAACAACTGCACACCAGAATGAACGCACACTGGAAATCTATCAAAGACAGGAATACCCAATTACCTGTGGGGGCACACTTCTCACAAGAAAACCACTCTCTCTCCAATCTCTCAGTCCTGATCCTCAAAGGAAACTTATAAAACACTTCCCAGAGACGAGCCTATGAACTCCACCTCATCAGCCTCCTGGACACTAAAAATCATGGACTAAATATAGACATTGGATTTATGACACATTATAACCTGTCTGACATCTGACTCCCCAGGTATCTCTCCACTACTCATCCCTCTTCTCTCTCTCCCCCACACCCCCCCAACCTGTCTCTCACCCATTGACTCCTCAATCTACATTTTCACTGACTACCTGTCTTGTATGCATACCAGCCCAGCCTCTGGCTTCTTTACTTTTCATTCCATCCAGGAAGTGCACACACCAACTGCAAAAACTTCCTTAGCCTGACAAAGGGTTTTTGAACCCGAAAGCTTGCTTAATAATTGTTTTCCAACTATTTAAGTTGGTCTAATAAAAGATATCAGATTCACCCAAAGAACTTTGTCTGCCAGTCATCACGTAGGCAAGTGTCAGAGACTGAAACATAACCAATGTCAACTGGCCCCACCTCCCAGTGCCGTGCTGGCACCAGTAGTGTAACAATGGGTGGGTGAGCAAGGCACAGGCCCCAGGTGCTGTCTAGGGTGGGAGGCACAGGAATGGATCTAGGAGGCACTTCCCCATCCTGTTCCCCTCTCCCCACAGCATGCTCCCTGCATCTTCCCTTCTCCGGCTCTGGCTCCAGTAACAGAAAAGGCAGAGAAGCAGCAGTGGCACATGATGCAAGAGCAGCAGCCAGAGTTTTGCTGCTGCTGAGGGACATGTCACATTTCAATTTGCCACTGAAAACTGGTAGTTTTTCTGGCCACTCAACAAACTTGTTAACAGTAAAGGAGAAGCTGACATGTCCCAGCTGCATCAATGAAACTTCAGCTGCTGTCCCTGCATCATCTGCCTCTGGGTTAGGTTTCTGGGAGTAGAACTGGACGCTGCATTTGCCACTGGACAAGTTGTGCCTGTGTCCTCCCTAGGATTGGCATGTATACACATTGCCTTTTGGGTTTAGTGGGTGGTTGAATGCATTGCTGCTTTTCTGCCATTGATTCATTGATTGAATCCAGGGATAAGTGTTCAGATGCACTTTGTGATGTCCCCAGGTAAACTGTTGGCACTTCTTATTTTGTAAATCTTTTTTGAATTTATCCTGAGACAACAGATGTGGACGTCTGAACAATTTCACTTTGTTCCCAGATAAAATGATTTTTCCCAGGAAAAATGTGACACCTCTTTGTAGCCCAAATGTCACCATAGGGTCATGCAGTTTCCTCTCAGCAGTAAGGCAACATCCCCGCTCTTTTTTTCAGATACCTGAATTCCTTCAGTCAAGGTGAAAAACTATCTGCCTTTGGATGTTAATTTAGCTCCAAAATAGCACATTCTGGATAGTTAGGGGAAGAGGCAGTAGGAAGGTCTGAGGCCCAAATCTGAGAGATCTCCCACATAATTCATGTTGGGATTTGAAATTTGGCAATCCAAAACCAACTCAAAGGTTCTCTGTTGTGCTGAGAAGCTCAGCAAATTAACTGGAATGGACAGACACCTAAAAGAAACCCAAATGCTGGTGTTTCAAGATGGATAAATCCTGGTTGATTTGGGGCAGAACTAAGGCTTTTTGGATGAACATCTGGCTTTGAAGTGATGGGGACTGTTGTAAACTTGACAGATCTGGTGAAAAAGCAAGGGCTCCTTCATATTCATACATGAGCCATCAGGGGTGGTATTTTCGGTCTGAATACTTTGGGCAAGGCATTTATTTTCAAGTAACATCTGTGATCAGCCAAACAGAAAGGAAGAGATGGCTCAGGATGGTTCCCTCTCAGCTCCTACTTAAGATCTGTTAAGGAACATGTGAAAACTTGTAGCTCTTAAGTCCTTGGACTGATCCCCTCCCACAAAATGGGGTCAAAGTCTACACACACTAGAATGAGTCTCAGGTGGAAGAAAGAAGGCAGATCTTATACGTTCCCCTCCCTAGTGGATTCAGGGGCTGAAGAAATGCGTAGAGTTGGTTTACATGGGAAGCAGAATTTATACTTCAAGTTTCAGGGGTCTGGGTTCAGTTCCCACTGCAGGGATGCTACAGAAGCACTTGAGAGCTCACAATCATGAACATTTTTAACACTGACTGTCTTGTTTCCATAAACCAAAGTTCTTGCTTCTCTTCTGACTTATCTGGCATCTCACCCCACTCTGGAAGTGACAAAACTCTGCCCAGCATGGTGGTATCCTCCCTGCAGGCAACCTCCTACTGCTATCCCACAATACACAGCTTCACCTCTGGATTCGCCTTCCTGGT